TTTCTTAGTGAACTAGCAACTTGTTAAAACTGTTTAAATTTCCTTATTATGAATTAAGTATACGCGAAACAAGTCGCGGCATTTGCTAGTAATTAAAATTACATTTTTTTTATTTCGTTTCTTTTTATAGAGATAAGACTATTTTTTTGTAAAGATAGTAAAGGTTGTTTTTTTACCAACTGCTAAATGGAGGTATTCAATTTGAGTATAAAATTAAATTAATTTTCGTTTTCTTTATGAATTTCTTTTTTTAAGTTTCCGACGGCAGACCTATGGGGTTGCTTCCGCGGTCCACACGGGTATCAGGGAAATACCAGGAGCAAACCTCATGGTATGCCACCCAGCAAGGTGGACCACCTCCTCTCTCTTGTATCTTGGCTTAACGTCTGGCTAGCTTGCCGGACTCAATAACTAAACTTGGCCCGACCCGGGGCTCGAAACCAGGGCCTCCGGATGTATAGCCGTACATGCTAACCACTATACCACTGAGACACTAGAGTAATCGTTGTTAATGCGATAATTAAATTTTAGTTAAAAAGCAATTATAATTCATATTTTAAATGAATAGTAATAAAATTTACGAGATATTCCGAAAGGTTCGTATAAGGAGTTTATATATTTGACTTGACCTAATTATATAATAAAATGTATAGGACAAGCCTCATTTAAAATATATGTATATATGTATAACAGTTCTGATTTAGGACATAATGGATAATAAGTAAATGTAGATAACAATGGAACAATGGACTATTAGCAGGTGAAAAGATAAAGGGATTCATTATGACGCCTATTATTTCAAGAATCAAGATTTAACCTTTACACAAATATATATATATATATATATATATATATATATATATATATATATATATATAATATATATATATATATATATACATATATATATATATATATATATATACTACTTTAATTATTTCCAACATCATTACCACTTGTGTTACGGTAAAGGGACACATCGTGAGGAAACTTGCATGTCTGAGAGAACTAGCAAGCTTTCGAAAGACGTCCGCCTATCCGCATTTGGCTAGCGTGGTGGACTATGGCCTAATCCGGCTCGTGCCCAACTGTGAGATGTTAAAAAATGGCTGAATATTATAGTACCTGCGCGCCCAAAGTTAGCTCGCCGTAGGTAATTATCCTTTGACGACAATCGAGTACCAAAAACATTAACGAGATCACGAGATGACTGATATTTTCAGCATGAGAGTAGATAAAAACGACTCTAATAATTAGTTATAATAACATGTTTTTTTTTTCTGAAAAATTGCATTTTTTCTGAAACGGCACCTATATAGATGAATTTAAAAAGAATAACCTTATCTAAATACAACATTTGATCCAAATCGTTAGAGCCGTTACGGAGATATACGAGAGTAATTTATATATACAAGAATTGCTCATTTAATATTAAGATAGTGAATACTGCTGCTTTTAATGTTAAAACAGCAGCTTTTAAAATTACATAAAGAATCCAAACACAGCTAAGTCTTAGCGAAAGTAAGTTGTTTGAATGTTTTCGTCATAATAGATTTAATTCGTTTAAATTCTATACATTTAAATATTAATGGCAACTAAATTTCAAATTCAAAATTTCTTTTAAAAAGAAATGAGGCTACACTTATTTATGTAGAATATTGAATGTGACAAGAGCGAGTTGCTAGTTATTTATAAAAAAAATGAATAAAATGTATATTCTGCAAAACGTTGAATTCCACCTCTTCAACAAGAATTGAAATTTTAATTATACACGATATAAATATAAGAAAAAGTTGTTTTATTTACTTTTCATAACTTATATTTTAAAATTAATCTATCTCATGACAACTTGTATTGAGATGTCGATTTACTGTACAATATGTATGTATGTATATATCATTTTTATTTTAAATTATCTTAACTCTGTTGTATGTAGTTTTTAGATATTTTATTATAAAGCATATTTAATTATAAAGTATAAAATAACTATAAGTCAATATTTTGAGTAAAACTATATTTTCGGACGTTTTCGCGGTTTTATTTTTGTTTCTTCTATGATCTTAAAAATAACTTATTACTAAAAATTACCAAGAAATTGTTTTTAAAAACATTGTAATCATATACAACTTGATAGAAACCAGTTATAATTCAAAACAATTTATTTCGAGGTCGATCTCGTCCCCTTGAATTACTATAAATCAATTGGGATTTACGTTGACGTGAAGTCAAATGATGATCGTAAGTATCCTTTAAGTATTGTCTTATCTAACAGTAATGTCCTGATCATCTTCGGTTAAATAGATAACTATGCAGGATATTGTATTATAGTGCACAATTATGTGTTGTGAGGTTCTCTTAATAGAATTCCATTAATATTGCGAAAGTTTGAATGGATGGATGTTTGTTACTCAAATAGGTACATCTGAACGGATCTGGATTGAAATTTGATACAGTGATAGATTATAGTCTGGAATAGCACATAAGTTACTTTTTATTTCGGAAAATTGTACGGTTCCCGTGGGATACATTTGTTTTTGTTTTTCATAGAGCAAGGCATTGACTATCTATTTCGTACTAACCGTTAAAACGTTCCTAGGGAAGAACCCGAGCAAAGTGAGGTTGAGTCGCCAGTAGCTACATATATAAGTTTGTAAGCCTTAATTATAGACAAAGGTATAACAGGATATTTATTATAGTCTTCTGACCACTGGGCTTCACTAGTTATAATTTTATTTTAGGCAAGGAAATGAATTTCTAGGTAATACATTGAACACAAACACTTTGATCGGAGACTGAGATATTATTATTAATAAGGTAGTGTATCCCATTGGTAAAATGCGTATGTAGATTAAATATAAACTTCCATAATTCAAAGATCTAAAATGGCGAACTTTCATTCAAACTTTCATCATTCCTTTATCATTTTAGGAATGAATTTTCTAATATCGTACCTTCTACGTTGGAACAAAATTAACGGCAAATTTCGATTTGGCGTAGATATATATCTACATAAATAAAAAGACACCCCTTTCGTTTGTTGGCTCATTTGGTTTTTAAAATATCCTTTATAATAAAAATAATAAGTTGCCCGAAAAATTGGGAAATGCGGAAAAAACTGTACTATTTTTATAGGATTTTAATTTTAAGCCCAAAAACCATAAGCAAAATTGATTTTGGACATTAAATCATATTGTTGTAATACATACTCCAAGTATATCTGCATAGACTTTTAGAACCACATTAAAAAATCAAATACAAGTATTTGTTTCGTACGAGAATCAAATTCGCTGTTCCGGGCTAGTGAGCAGAGCTAATCAGAGGGGTGCTTCATTAGCGATGCGATTTTCCACATGACATATCACAGTGTATTTTTTGACGGACTTCAAAAGAGAAAGTACTCAACTAGAGGAAACACCCATAGAGTTGAAATATTGTTTGGCAATTATGGAACCAATATTAGGGCTTAACAGATTCCGACGACAACAAAAAAAAAACAGATTCCGACGAATTGAGAACTTCCTCCTTTTTGGAAATCGGTTAAAAAGACGTTTCTAATCGAAAAATAAATTGTGATTACAAATTTACAGTTTTTGGATTTCATGGTTTTAGATAAACGGGAAGTACGCTATAGGTTTTGATTCCCTTGCGAGAGTCAAAATATGCGGCATAAATGGCCATATCTTCTGATTACGTTAACTTAGAATTTTGATCTTTTCATAGCTCCAAGCAAATCTATTTGATATTAATTTTAACTTGGTACGTCTAAGCGTTCCTGAGAAAAAGAGTCTTGATAGACAGAAAGACAGACGGACGGACAACAAAGTGATTCTATAAGGGTTTGTTTTTACTTTTGTGGCACGGAACTAAAAAAGGATAATTAATTAATTATCATGAAACTCGGTTAAAATTGTCGTAGATATTGCGTAACATACATAAAAGCACACACGAATTGGTTACCTCATCCTGTGTAAGTATTAAAAAAAAATGAAAAGCAGTATCAAGCGATATCAAAATCGATCATATTGTTGTGATGGAAAATAGAATGTGTAGCGAACGTGACCGAATATAAATGTGACGACACTTCCACAAAATACTGAGTTAGTAACTAGAGAAGCATCGTGACTCATTGCTTGAATGTCTTGTTTAAAATTAACAAATAAATAGGAATAAAATTGAAGGAATTCTTTTTTTTCATTTGAACGTGCTAATCTCCGGAAATGGAAGTGACTAACGAGACACAAAAACGCGAAGAAACGCGAAACGCGACACTCGAAAAACTCGAAAAACGCGACACTCGACGACACGCGAAACTCGAAAATCTGATGGAAATATGCGACGTTGCCGTATTTCTTATGCCACTCGAAGACACTCGATTACTAACCTACAGAAAATAATCAGAAGTTTCTTAACTCAAGTTAACACTAAACTTTGAGTGTTAACACTCAACTTTGAGTGATAGCACGACTACTCAGTGAAGTTGTTTTTAAAATAATGTTTATAAAATAAATTACAAATCAGTGAAATAAATTATAAGTACTTTAATTAAAATTTACTAAAACTGTTATTTGCAAGATATAATTTATTTTTGTTAAAATTATAATTGCATAAAAATTTTGTTTGAAAAACCTGAACGAAAACCATATCCAAAAATGAAAATATTAAGGAACACTGAACTTTGAGTGTTATACTCGACTGGAGTAAGGAAGCCACATTCTTTCATTGTTTATTTACAATTAAATGACAACTAAATTAAAATTACAATATTGTTATATTACAATATTCTTTCATAGAGTGTACATACACGTTACATCTCTAACTTTTAGAACAGCTACTACAAAACCAAGCAGTTGTTGGTTCTTTCTTAACGTTAACGCAGGGCCAATCGAACCAAAGAAGACATCGCTTACATGTAATCATTGTTTTTGTTAATCGTCGAGGTTTTTGACACGTACCACACTTGATTGTAATTCTTTTCCTTTTCTTTTCGACGATGTCATTCAAGCGTTGTATGCCGTTGGTTCACAAAATTTTTCCAATGCTTGAATGACATCGTCGTCTGTATTCTTAATCGCATCCGTGACAGTTTTATCATCTACATTAAAACTCGCAGATTCTATTTTACGTTTTTTTGTCACAACATTTAGGATTAAATCATCTGGTATGAACCACGAAAGCATTTCGGATGCTTTTTCTTCATCGCTCAAATCCTCAAAGCTATCAATTTTCGTTTGCTACTTCGCAACTCACACGAAAGCTTTTTAGCATTTTTTGGCACTGTCACCTCTTGTCTCGGTGTTCCAATAGCTGTTGGTTTTTTGGCCGTCGGTCGTCCCCTCGTCGTGATTTTTGTCGGTAAAGTTACGTCATCGTCGTTGGCAGAAAAATGAGACACAATTCCTGATTTAGTGATAATAGACACTTTGTTGCATGATTGTTGGCCTATTTTAGAGATATTATCAGATTCAGGTTCGAGATCAGATTCACTATCTAGATCAGAGTCAGGATCAAGTTCACAATCGAGATCAGAGTCAAAATCAGAAGGAGGTTCAGATGAAGTTTCAGCGGCAGGTTCAGTGCGAGGTTCAGATGAAGTTTTAGCGGCAGGTTCAGTGCGAGGTTCAGATGAAGTTTTAGCGGCAGGTTCAGTGCGAGGTTCAGATGAAGTTTTAGCGGCAGGTTCAGTACGAGGTTCAGATGAAGTTCCAGCGGCAGGTTCAGGGCGAGGTTCAGATGAAGTTCCAGTGGCAGGTTCAGTGCGAGGTTTAGATGAAATTTCAGCTGCAGGTTCAGTACGATGTTCAGATGAAGTTTCAGCGGCAGGTTCAGTACGAGCTTCAATGGCAGGTTCAGAATCAGCATCTTCTAGTGGAAACCATGGATTGATTTCCACTTCAAGATCAACCTCCCAATAGTTGATGAGGGCTGTCAGTGCCTCCATGCGAGGATCAAAGGTTTTGCTCTTCAAAAGACACGCTTTCAATTTCTGCAAAGATTGGTTTGCCAGCAGTTCTATAACAAAATAAAAATAATAAATAACAATACTCGAAACCTTTTTTGTTTCATTGATTATTCAAATATCATACCTTCTTGTGGCGTAATAATCTCTAAAGCAGATTCACTAGAGTCTTCATTCGATCCGCTAGTTGAAAGCTCCTTCTCACTAACTACAATGATCTCTTGTGATAGTGTTGTTGTTGAAGCACTAGCAATTGTTATGGGTGCAGGGGTGACGTTCTGAGTTACAATCGTAGGAGAACTGTGATCGTGTATGGGGTGGCAACTGTGAAGGACGTAAGCGTCTTTTTGCTTGGTTGCTTTGTATTTAGCATGCATTTCGCAACCAGTTTTTTGGATCCTAAAAAAATATAATTATGATCAATTTGTTATCAGATATGTACATGTATTTATTATTATTATGTATTCGACTCAACGGGTATTCACCCTTTCTAAAAATGTTATAAAAATATAAAAAAAAAAATAAAATTTGTATTGATAACTTATTCTTACCTCGCATTTTTTCAGCTGTTTTACCACGCATTGGACAGTGATATTGGTATTCATAATAATCTAGTTGACATCCCTCAGGTCTTTTGACATTTGAAACCTCAAAAGACCTAGATCTGCCAGTGGAAAGCTCGATACCAGTTTTTTCTTTATGAAGCGCCAAACGTTTTTTTATTTCATCGTAGTTTTTCACCTCTTGACCGAGTTGAAAAATATCGGATACATCTAATCTCGGATCCATCTGATCTATCTGATCCATCGGATCGATCTAAAAAATTAAAAATATATTTAATAACCAAAGTATACATTAAAATGTTTTAAAATCAAGATTAGAAATTTTTTTTGAGTTACTTGAGTTAACTAACTCAAAGTTGACTAACTCAACTAACTTGACTAACTTGAGTTAGTTGAGTTAGTATCGGAGCATAGATAAAGGCCAACAAATAAACAAACAACTTCAATCGGACTTTGAAAAAGATGTTGATAAAAATAGTAAATATTTGATCAAAATGTCTGAACAAAACTACTACGGCGACGGAGCACGGGGCATCAGCTAGTTTTTTAGATTTTTATTGTATATTTTCAACTTACCTTTATTCAATGTTGATTGACTGTTAGACTTCTACTCTGTCCGATGGACGCACGTTTGTTCAACGTACAAACGATGTTTCTTCACCTCTTTGTTCATTCCAAAAAAGCCAATCACAGAAACATATTTTTGAACGAACCAATCAGAGTCTTCGCATTTTTCAGATACGAATACAAACGTTCCGATATTCGTTTAAAACGATTAGACACAATACACAAGACACAATACAGTCATAAAACAATAAACCCATTAGTACAAAGGCGTTCCAAACTCAAAAAATGAGTCACAGGCTCGAAGTAATAGTACCTCGTGCCTGAGTTGAGGGGATAAAATCGTAAAAATTGATAATATTTTTCTGATAGTTGAAACATGCTGGGTTTTTTGAATTCCAGATTTAACCAGTCGACGTTTTAATTCTCATTTTCAATTTTCCAATATTATTCGGCAATCTGGGGTCACTCAAAATCGTGACACCCAACAGTTGAGTGTTATTCTATTTAAAAATCGGATTTTTGTCCAAGAGCGTTTGTTTTCTTGACTAGTAATAATTAACAAGAAATCGTGAACGGTGTTATATCATCACTCTTCTTCCAATCAATTTCAAACCATTAGAGTCCGAAATTTGTTTCCATTTTTCAGATAAGATTGAAAACATTCAAACAAGTAATAAATTAATTTCCGAAGACAAATTCCGAAATTTGCTTCCATTGTTAAGATAACATTGAAAACATTCAAAAGCGCCTTCAAACGATTAGACACGGTCAAAATGTATCGAGTCGAACGACAGTCATAAAACAATAAACCCATTAGTACAAAGACGTACAAAGACCAGAAAAATGAGTCATAGGGTCGAGACATATTTAGCCTACGAAGCCTACGGGCCTTGGATAAGTGGACGGAAAATAACATTAAACATAAAATAACAACTTGTTCTCATTCTTTTATAATAAAAATGTTGAATGATGATTGTAAACAACTTCTCTCATTTTCTGTCCGAATGACCAAAAAACGTCACCGGTTACTCTGCTAATCAGAAGCCAAGATTTAATGTGTTCGTACCATGACGCAATAACAAGTTTTTGTTTTGTTATTTTTGACAATTTTTCATTTCACGAAATATACTCAATTAATTCTCCATTTGTTTCCTTAAAAAATCAGTGCAAAGAATAAAATAGGTTTTCATTTGTTTATTAAAAAATTGAGTTGATGATTTAAGTAAGCGCTAAGTAAGCGCTCTCTCTGTCTCGCAAGCCGGGCGCAAAAGCGGTAGGAAGAAATTTCCTCCAATTATAAGTCGTGTTTGGCAGGTGACTTTGTGGAAGGGCAAATCAGGGCAGTATCCTTAGGTACTAAAAGCTTTCAGACCACACTTGATTTCGGAACACGATGAGCGCTTTATTCGTTTTAGTGAAGTTTCGTTGATTTTCTTTCAAAATGTCGGTTTTGAGTAAAGGAATGAAATTTGACTGTGATCGTAAATTTTTAACGTTCTTCAAAAAATACCAAAGGGATAAAAGACAGCTTTTCACTAAGAGAAGTTCAATTTCGAGCCAGGACAAACAAGTCGCGCACAGAAATATTAATCGAAAAAAGTTTAAGTATTACACTGTCCTGTATTGCTGTAAGTACGGTGGACATGAATATGAATCACAATCAAATGGAGAACGGAAACGAGGGTAAGTTTTATTTCGAGTTTTGAAATTCACAATAATTTTGAACATATTGAAATTGAAATTCCCTATCAAATTACAGGACCAGAAAGATGGGATGCAAAGCAAAAGTTAGGGCTACTGTCGATAAAACGGGCCGACATCTCGTTATTAGGAAGGCGGACCTGATCCATACAGGACACGATGACCTCGAGGTAATTTCCAATGTTATATATTGGATATATTATGACTATACTTCAATCTTTGGTGTCTAAGAGTCACTCGAGATGAAGGCACTGAATACTTGAGTGTTCCATTTAAAAGTTGTTTTCTGAGAGCGTTTGTTTATTGAGTATCAATTTACAAATATAAATCATGAAATCAAGAACTCGATAATTTTTTCGAGTTTTTTTAAAGTTAAATTTTGAGATCAAAAGTTTTCAGAATTTAAACTGTAACTAGCTCACTTCTAAAATTCAGTTTCGAACAGGCGACGTTATAAATATTTACACTCACAAATTTCTAAAATCATAACTTCAGATTCAGAATCATTACTTCATAACAGAATCATAACACAGATTTTTACGTACAACAATTCTTACATTTTTTCATCAAACAATGCCTTAACACTAGAAATTCTGTGACTTTTCATTATTTTGGTATAGAAACATGTACCTAGAAGGAATTTTTAAAACTGCAAAAATATTTTATGTTTAACTTTGGAAGCCGGACGCGACATTTTTGTCCCCTTTGTAGCGAAAAAAATATTAATAAATTTTGTTCAAATAACAAAAAAAGAACTAAATTTGAAAGTATCGCCATTGGCTAAATTTCAATAATCAATCCCAGAATGAAATACAAATATTTCGGACATTGCAAAATCTATGGCAGAGTTTCCAGAAATAAAACACTGAACTTTGAGTGTAATACTTGATGGAGCATGAAAGCAATTTGTTTTTCATTTTTTATTTACCTGATCGGTAACAAATTTAAAAATTATAAATGTATGAAGTTGTATAAATGAGTAAAGTAATTCAATTATAATTGCATACAAACTTTGTTTAAAAAACTAAATGAAAACCATTTACACAAATTAAAATCTTAGGAAACACTGAACTTTGAGTGTTTTACTCGAATGGAGCATGGAAGCAATATTTTTTCATTGTTTACTTACCTGGTTGTTAACAAATTTGAAATTATAAATGTATGAAGTTGTATAAATGTGTTAAGTAATTTAATTTTAATTGCATACAAATTTTGTTTAAAAAACTAACTGAAAACTATTTACACAAATTAAAATCTTCGAAAACACTGAACTTTGAGTGTTATACTCGAATGGAACATGGAACCAACATTTTTTCATTGTTTATTTATTTTGGCAACTACATTAAATTTACCTGAAATTGTTATGTGCAAGACACAATTCGAAAAGCTATATTGGATAGTGTATCGTCGTTGGCACATTTTCAATAATCAAATTCAAAATGAAATAAAATTATTTGATTTTAAATTTTTCTATTTGCAGGAATACTTTGATACGCTCCCAGAGAACAAAAGACTTTCGGACCAAACTACTCAATATGTTCTCGACACAATGAAATTCGATCCAAAAAAGGCCAAATTGTTCGATTATTTGGAAACAAAAAAAAACGTACAATGGGATTCAAAAGATCTTGCAAACTTGAAGCGTCGCCATGAACCAACTAAAAATGGGAACGATTACGTGGAGTTTACAAAAATACTTAAAAATGAAGGTAACTGTCAATAGAAGTTGAAAACAGAGAAATTTAAATATTAATCATTAACTAATCGAATTTTTGTTGTTATAGGTGCATCATATCAAACTCTGATCGATGAAAAGCGCGAATTAGTAGCCATTTTTTTTTGTACGCCAGAGATGCGGAAAGCAATGAGCAAGTGGTCTGATATCGTGTTCTGGGACAGCACGTACAGGCTCCTAAACAACAATTTTGTGTTATCCTTATTCCACGTAGAAGACTCGAATGGCTTCACTAGAACCGTCGGAGTAGGCCTGCTAGCCAACGAAGAGGCGGAAACTTTCAAATGGCTTCTAACATGTTTTCGTGAAGCCAACCCTGAAGCTTGTCTGAAAATTAGGTCCATTATGACCGACAAGGATCCTTCTGAGAGAGCAGCCTTGAGGGAAATTTTTCCAGAAGTTAACCTCCTGATTTGCAGTTTTCACGTCCAACAAATTTTCCATCGACAAATAACTGTTGGAAAAAGGGGGGTAACGAGCGAGGAAAAAGATGACCTCCTTTTAATTTTGCGAAAACTAGTGTACAGCGAATCGGAGGAAGATTACGATGAAACGTACACTGAATTTTGTGAAGTTGCTCCAGAAGAAGTGATCGATTATTATAACACCAACTGGCATTCGATAAAAGACGAGTGGGTCCTGTATCGTATGAATGCTCACGGAAATTTGAATAATAATACAAATAATAGAGCAGAATCGACACATGCCAAGGGTAAACAAATAGTTCCACTACACAGCAGTCTGGTAGAGTTCGGCAAAAACATTTTTGTTTTCTTTCGGGCACAAGCGCGTCAAATCAAGATCAAAAGCGGAAAACTGATGACTACAAAATCAGCAGAAGCTTTTACAACCGCAGATGAAAAAAACTATTGTGAGTTGTTAACTCCAAAAGCCTTTGCCGAATTGCAACCAGAACTGCTGGAGTACCCTGACGTTCAAATCATGAGTAGCAATGTCGCTCAAAAAGAGTGTTCTTTCGAATTAAACGGAAGGACAATCACGAGTTCTTTAACTAAATGCAAATGTCTGAAAAATCGTTCAATGTTTCTGCCTTGCAAACATGTATTTGCTACTCGTGATTTCTTCGAGCAACCACTTTTTGATAAAACGTTGTGTGCAGAAAGATGGTTGAGAGGGTATAGTGTACAATGCGATACTGAAATTTCCAAACTCACACACTTCCCTAATTGTAGCCAATCCTCAAACGGTAGCGTCACACAAATTAGGCAGTCGAACGAACATGTCACACTGGAAAAACTTGCAAAGAAGTATGACACTTCGTTCAACTTGCTGGCTCACGTAGGCAGCTTGTCTGCGAATCAAAACTTGCAGAACAAGAGTGACTGTTTGCATGATGTGATGGATTTGTGGGCGAAAGGGAAAAATGTGCGACTTTCAAAAATAACAAACAATGAATTGAATGTTATTCAATGTACATTGAAGTTGAAGTCGACAAATGACAAAAGGCGTCATCTTTTTTGTATGAAAAAAACTCCTCGAGAAATTCAGTTGTCAGAGAAAAAAATCAAAATACTAAATCGACTGCTCTCACTGTGGAAGAAGAATGTTCCAGTTATTGCTAAAGAGTCAGATGGCGATTGTAGTTTAAATGATAGTGCGACCTTGAATACTAGCGAGATTAAAGTACCGGAACCAACTTTGATCAAAGG